GCTATCCTCTTGCTCCCTAACAAAACTTCCTCTTGAGAGAACCCAGAGATCGAGCATGATTTGTGTCCCAACTGGTGGCAGAGTGGGATTGCTTTGATAACGTTTGAGGGGAGCGGTTTTGGCAGGAACAGTCCCAGGCGGACGGCCTGGACTCACTGCTATGGGGCCCTACTGTGATCTGGTTGGCCCAGGACCTCATGCAGATGTTCCATGCCTGTGGCCCGCATGTTGTTCTTGAGCCCCTCCATGCCCTGTCAGCTTTTAGAAGGTCGGAGGACCCACAGACTTTGTGCTGTGCTGAGCCCACCAAGGCTGGGGCCTGGCCCTCTAGCTTCACAGAGCCGTACTGCCTGGCCCACCAGCGGGCTGAATCTGGGAGGCAATGCGGGGACCTCTGCCACTGGAGTCTGTTGACATTTGTTCTCAACACCTTGGAAAAGTACTAAGAAAACAAGAGGTCACGAACAGGAAGTTCATGCCTTTCCAGCATGAAACCGGCCTCCTGCAGCTTTGTCCTGGATTATTTGTTCCTGCTGAATCTTGTTACAAAATAAAGATCAAGGAAAGAGCAACAAACCCTATGCCTTGTTCCAGTAAAAACAAAACTGTAAAAAGAAGTATACCTATCCTGTAACTCTCAGCCTATTCTGTCACATCAGGTGAAAGAAATTTACATCCCATTCACTTGGCAGTCAGTGGCTCATATACCGTGACTTATGAGTTCCTGCATATTTGTGATGATCAGTCAGCAGAGCAGAGGGCGCGCTCTCCTTTCTTCAAAATGACCACGGGGGAAGCAGGTGGTGGCGGAGTCTTTTGAACGATGATAGAAAATTGCTCTCTTACATTCTTTTCCATCTGAAGACCAACATTTGTTTTTTTTGCCACTTCCCCAGGAAATCAGAATAAAAAATGAGCAAATGAGCAGTACATGACAAGCACGGTCTCAGAGACGCTGTGGGATGGTTGGTCCCCGGGCTCCTCTCCTTGCCTTTGTGCGGAGCGAGCGCTGTGGGTGATTTTTGCCACAAGGTGGCAGCCGTGCTTCAGAGCCACTCCCAGCCCTGAAGGAGGGGACGGGGGTTTCCTGGATTCAAGTTGTTGGAAATGCTGGAGTCTGGTCTCTCCACAGAGAGCAGGCCTGTGTTCTTGTGTTCAGAGGGGCAGAAGGTGGAGAAACATCCAGCGTCTGGTTCTCAGCAGAATCTGAGGCCTAGGTAGACGGCAGGCCAAACACTAAGGAGGAATCGGAGGTGGGAAGTGGCTGCAGCAAGATAAAAGCAGCCCAACTCCTTCCCTGGAGTGGAACGTCTGGGAAGGCAGCTCTGGGCAAATGCTGCTGTCCCCGGATGCCTGCAACTCCCCTTGGGAACCCTCACCCTGGTTTGGAGCTTCGGGGCAGGGAGAGCTACAGAGCCCTTTCCCAGCCCCCCAGCCCCACCGGCCAGCTTGCTATGAGAATCCTGTCCTTAAGGCCCAGAGGGTGAGCAGACCTCTGGGGACAGGTTTCCACCAGTTTCACCTGGACCTCCTACCCCTTGCCCCATGGTTGATAGGAACACCTACTGTACCCCTCCAAGCTGAGCTGCCTTTAGCTCTACTTTGGACATCTTGCCCCTTCAAGGCCCCAGCAGCAACACCTCACCGGGGGTCCTAGGACTAGTGCTGAAAGCACACTGCAGGGCCCAGATGTCCCTCTCCCCCTCCAATCCTGGGGCCCAGCCCCTCACCCCACCCTTCCCCGGGAGCAGATCTGGCTGGCTCACTTAAAATAATTTTAGGAAACACTCATGTAGGCATCTTTAAACTCCAGGAACTTACATTCTGTCTTCCATCAGTGAACATGCAGAGGTAATGAGCTAGAAGCCAAGTGAACGGATGAGCTCTTTATTGCTGTGGGCGACTGAAAAGTCTGAACAAGGTTGCCCTGTTTTATCGGTGCGGCTGAGACAGAGCAAGCTGGACTGCCCTGGCTGGACTCGGGAAGCCTCAGCCAAGGCCAACGCTCAGGGGCCAGGCGTAACCCGAGTCCGAATCTGTTGGAGGTGGCACTGGTTCTCTTCCTACTACATTTGTTGTAGGGAAGCTACCTTCAGCTGAAGCCGCCTGTTTGGAGGGCCCTCCTCAAAGCTGCTGCTACTTCAGAATGCAAGAAGGGAATAAGGGTTGGGGAGGGGACAGGGTTGCAGCAGGCTCTGGCCTCCCACCTTCCCTCTCACTTCTGTGATGGGAGGTATGTATGTGTGTTGGGGTGGGGGGCGGGGGGTGGGAGTGCATACTGACTGCAGACCGGGAGGCATAGTGGCTTCTGACTCGGTTGGGGACTTCCTTCCACATCCTGTGATGCCCAAAGATTTCCTTTTTAGCCCTGGGTCCCAACATCATGCCTCCTACTGAATCCTAGTTCTAGCCCGTGTGGGTGACTGGCTTGTGTGAGGCACGAGCACCCAGGAATCTGGACTTGGGGCTGCCTGCCTCCTTTGGGCTACACACTGGCCGACAGGCTTCCATGAGTTGGTGCGTTATTAACAGAAGTCCAACAGTCCTTCAGAACAAGTCCTACCCAACTACAACCACACACTTCCTGGCTTGGGAAGTATTCCAAACCCCCAAGGGGCTGGAACACATTGTACCTTAAACAAAGCAGATTTTCTTCATGCTTTCACATTTGAGGCATACCCAGGACGTCCTAATGTCATAGTTCCCCCACTAGACGGAAAAATCCCAGCCATAAAGTAGACCCAACATAAAATTCTCCTGTAAACTGCCCTCTGCTTCCCGGAAAATATATCCTTTGCACCATTTACTAACACTGAACAATCAAGAATGAAGCTAATAGGCAACGGCCATTTGTCAACAAAGAATTCTCCCTTGGGCGACCTGCTTGGATGTAAGCCATGGAGTCAGCAAAGAGGGAGCCTGGGTGCCTGGGTGGCTCAGTGGGTTAAGCCTCTGCCTTTGGCTCAGGTCATGATCTCAGGGTCCTGGGATCAAGCCCCGCATCGGGCTGTCTGCTCGGGGAGCCTGCTCCCCTCCTCTCTGCTTGCCTCCGACTACTTGTGATCTCTGTCAAATAAATAAAATCTTTTTAAAAAAAGTGGGGGGGGGGGTGGTTCAGGGAAGTTGAAAGATCCCAAGCTGTGGGCCTCGGGGTCAGTCTTTGGGGTCAGTACTCCATTCACACGGCATCACCCAAAGGAGCCACAGAGGGCCACTGTGGAAGCTCCCCACCATCCACATGAGGTCATGTGCTAGTCCTATGGGGCAAGCACTGGCCTCCCCAGCCTGGCCCAAGAAGATGGCTTACAATCAGGATGTGTCTGCACCTGTGTGCAGGGGACTGGGCCAGGTGCCTGCTCAGATCCCTCCTGGAGCTACGAGCCAAGTCTACACACATGTGCAGGTGCGTGCGTGCGTGTGCGCGCACACACACACACACACACACACACACACACACAGGAACACTTGGTATTCTCCCTAAGTTGACACCTGTCTGGGTCCTGCTGATCTAATCTTGGACCATGGTTCTGTCTCTAGATCACTGCAGAGCTCCGTGTGCTACCCCAGAACAAGGCAGCAGGAGGAGAAAACAGCTTTTGTGTCTTTAATTAGGCAAGAGGCAAAAACAAAGTCTGGCTGAAAATTTACCACTTGAAGCTTGGCTGATGCCAAAGACAGTGCCAGCTCCCTGTGCTTGGGTAAGCAAGAGCCACTGCATTTGAGGACACACTTGGCAATGGTGGGTGGGTCGGGGTTGGAGCAGGGGAGCAGGCAGCCACCTCACTCCTGGAAAGGAAGCTTCAGTCGCGGGCGCGCACTGCATGCACCAATTCCAAACACACTCCCTTTCTCTTAACCGGATCTTTATTGTTGAGGACAGGTTAAAAAAAAAAGTCTCATCTCTGTTGTGAAAACAGGTAGAACAGGATATGGAGGTCATTGTGGCGAGCACAAGATCTGGAACCCCAGGGTGGCATCTTTCCCGCCCACCTTCCTGCCTCCAGGCACGGGTTCCCTCGCAGCTGACCAAAGCCCTTGAATAGATCACAGCCGGGGTTTTAACCTGCTTCCAATTAGTGACAAGAATTAAGGTACCTTGGAGCTGCTTAGTGGGACTTGGGAAGCCACCCACATCGTCTGCATCAAGAACCTTGAGGATCTCTGGCACTAATGAGACGGGGTTTTGCTGGCATCGGCGAAGTAGTCTTCTCGCAGCGTTTGCCCTCAGAGCCGCCATATATACCCAGAACTTGCTTGTCGTAAACCTTCCCACTGATCTCAACCCACATGCCGCTCTAAAAGGGGAATTCTGGTGACAAGGATCCAGTGGCCCTTATGGGCAAGTAGTTCAGTCAGCCCTGTAAGGCCCTAGAAGAATCACAGATGACCTAATTTGTCTGCTGCAGGGACTTACAGGGACCCCTCACGGGACTGGGTTCCTTCTGCACCAGTAGAGAAGAGACTTCTCTTCCCAGGCTATCATGATACAGGACACAGGCAGAAATCCAAGGAACTCCATCTTCCAAGTGAGGGGAGCTCACCTTGTCCTTGCATCCGCCACACTCCCAGAGGAGAGTTCCCAGAGAAGTCCCTAGCCCAAGCTAGAGCTAGGGTTGCCCATTCTTCACAGGGAGAGCTGCGTGGGGTTCCCTGTTTTGGCAACTGGCCTCGGGCTTCAGAGCATGTGCTCCCCTCTGGGGAGGGAATGAGCACCAGTGTCCACAAGGAGGCCTGTGATCGGGGAATCCACCCTCTGCCAGCGCCGAGCAGACCCAGGAGAGATGGCAGCCGGAGCTCCAGCAGGGATCTGCCTGTGGTCCGCTAAGCCAAAGGAGCTCCTCGGCCTTAGATGACCAGTTCTTCACAATTCTCAAACACCGCTACTAAAGCCTCCAAAGAAAGTCAAGAGGATCTTGTATGTCCCCCCGCCCCTCCCCAGAGCCCAGCACCACGAGCAAAAAGATTTTTGTTACGAAGCACAGGAAGGGCCAAGTTGTTGATAATGTCCAGAGATGCCTGCTTTATTTCTCGCTAGGCGGATGCATTTCAGGCTTGTGACAAGTGACTGATTACCAGCTAACTCTGAACCTCCGAACTACGAATCAACAATCAAGTCAGCAAGGAGCAGTGCTGTCAATAGCTGACCAGCTGACGGGGCTCTGGGGGACGAGTGGAGCCAAGGGTAAGGCCTGTGATCGCATGAAAGGCCCTAACGCCTGGTTAAGAGAGGCCCAAACCCTGTGAACCCCTAGGCGAAGCCCTCCACCCCAAGTGCCAAGGACACAGCTGTTAACTTCCTTCTGTGGGAGCCAAGCTACCTGAGCCTAGCCGCGTGCATCCAAGGCCCACTTTTAGTGGACACGTCCTCTGATCCCCCTGCCACCCTAGGACACAGCTCTTTGTGCAGGTTCTTAGAAAAAAAAGCTAGGCTTCTGGTAATTTCTTGTCTCTTTTTAGTTCTGCTTTAAAAAGAAAAAAGGGATGACGGGTAACCAAAGGCGGACACAGGCACCTCGGCAGAGCTGCAGCGGCCCCAGGCCCAGAGCTGGGCCGAGTCAGAGGTCTGTGCCGGTGAGGCGGGGCTCCTCTAAGGACACAGGGCCGGGTGCCTCCCGGGAAGCTGTCCAAGAGGGGGGAATTTATTAACAAAACTCCAAGACCATAGAGGCTGTCCGTATGAGAAGGCAGAAACTTGGAGAGGTAAGATCCAGGAAGAAAGATGTAAGGAAAAAACGAGAAGCTCGTTCTTATCATGTGGCGGTAGGAGCTCAGAGGAAGCCATCACTACATGAATCACTACCAGAGCTACGCTTTTTCTCCCCGAGAAAGAACACGAGCTTCCTTTGAGATCTTGAGATCCCCTGGCCCAAGAACTGACTGCCAAGCTGGTGTTTTCCCCTCGCACCAAGAGAGACGAAGTCACTTAGGAGAAAGGAGGTTCTCGTCAGCAGCTCCCTTTCCCTCACTGAGCTGTGCTGGGCCCTGCGCGAGCGTGCGGACACCAGGGGTGGGACCAGAGCTCCAGTGTGCTGTCCCTCCATGTTCGTTCGGCACAAGACCACCTGGCAAATACTTCGCTGAGAGCTAGTGACTGGGAGCAGGCCGGAGTCCTGGTTCTGGCCGGGTTCTGCCAGCCCTGTGGATCCCAAGCAGAGTCTCCAGACACAGTGGGGTTCTTCTGCTGCGGAGAGGAGGTGCACCTTGGGGTGCTAGCTGAGGAGTTAATGCAGAAAACAAGGCACCACAGAGAGGTTGGACACTTGGGTTGTATGATTCAGGACACGCTGGAAAAGTCCAAGGGTGGAGGGAAGGAGAGGGAGAAGGAAGAGGAGAAGACCGAGTTTTTAAATAACATCTCCTGAGGCTGGAGCCCCCTTAGATGGGCTCTGGTTTGAGCTTTTCTGCTAGGAAGTCATTCACAAAGGCCTCCACAATGGCAGGGGTGATCTCTTCCACATCCATCACGTACTTGGCCCGGGCCGACATGTCCAGAATGGTGAGCAAAGGGGCGGCCTCGGGCAGGTTGGTGTAATCGCGCAGGGAGTCAGTCATGTCGTCCTGGAAGTTACCAAAGGGAGAGAAAACCAGTAAGTCTTCGAGAAAGAGGAGAGAAGAGTCCCCTGCGGCATCCCCCCCAGATGGCAGGGAAAGCTGCCCCTCCAGTGTCCTGAAGAGTGGGTGGCCCCCGGGAAAGATGGGCTCTCAGAGAACAGGGAGCAGCGGACTCGACCCTGCCTTGAAGAATACTCTGCATCTCGCCAGACCACCAGACAAGTCCTCTTTCTTCCTTAGCACAGAAGCAACCTCTGCTTGCTAAAAATGTGTTGTCCTTTAAAGACTTCTTTTTGCCATTATCTCTTCAATTATCTGCAGCCCCACTCTGGGTATCTGAGGCCAATCTGGACTTCCAACTCTGGAATGATGTGAACAGAAATGGCTCACTGTCCCCATCCCACCCCTAAGGTTTAGGGGGCAGGAGCTGCACAGCCAGTTCAGAAGACAGGGTTTGTGAAGCTTATACGGGTGCCTATAACTGACCACACATTCCCACGGACTGGACTGTCCAGGTGAATTTCCCTTATTAATTATAAAAGCAAACCCAGAACCCCGAAGACTAGTAGAAGAATTTGTAAGGGAGCAAATATTTCAGACCACTTCTCATTTGGTAGAGAGCAGGAAACGGACTCCACACTCCCACCCCAAGGCCATCTCCCTATAAAACAGCACACACAGCCTTCTGAAGTGGAGGAAGGCCCAGGTCTCTCTGCACAGGAAGGGCTCGGGGCACTCCTGGCCTTAAATGCTGGCGAGCAGGAGGCACGAAATTTACCAATCACTGGTTTCTCAGACAAAAACCATTCCTTTTTCAAAGGGCAGATCTTTAGGAAGATGATTAGAAATAGCACACACTTCCAGCAACGCCCGGTGATTCAGCATCTCTGTTCTGGTTGACCCCCCGCCCCCCGCAGGCCCTCCGCGTGGGTTCATCAACCATCTCCAGGATAAGCAGAGGGGAGGCTCCTGGAAGACGACGGTCCACCGAACTCTCACTAGGAGGTCTGGGCCAAGCTGACTGAGCACAGTACTGTAGCCCCTCCCCTCTCCCTTGGAGGAAACCACGGGGAGATGAATTTTAATGTCTACTAAGGCTTCAGTGGGATGACTTCTGCCCTCAGAGCACAACAAATGCCCTTAGCTCCAGAAGGAGTGGGAGACATCACAGTCCTGGCTCAGAGGTGCCCCCATCAGTGCCTGATGAACCAGCACCCCACGCCCAGCCCCTTCCATGCTGCCTGGCTTCTGAGCATGGACGGCCAGGGAATGGGACTAAGAGAGCTACAAGGTCAGGAGCCCAGGTCAAGTGCACAGCAATGACAGGATGGCCAGGTGGGGAGCTGGACAGCAGAGGATTCTGTCAGACCCTCCCCCGTCCTGGTGCAGGCATCCTGCCCTTGGGGCCTGGCCACCTGCAGGACCACATGGACAGGAGTGAGAACACTGCCTCAGGGAGTCCCACTGAGCTCACGCTGTCTTTTGCACAACCCACTTAATGTGTGGCCCTGATAAGTCACTTCTGTGAGCCCAGGCCTTGTCCCCTGTAAAATGCATTCAAGAACGACGCTCTCAGGGTTAGGTGCGAGCCAGCAGATGAGCCAGCAAGTGCGCATGCCCGGCGGGCGCCCTCCAAGCCTCGCTGTGCTCATCTGTGAAACATAATGAAGCCGTTCCCAGTCCAGGGGGTGGGGCGGTGGGGAGGAACATGGGATGGTGCCCCTCAACCTCGCTGCCTGGTACACAGAAGACCCAAATGCTCCTTTTCAGTCACATGCCTAATGCACTCACTGAAGCTCCCCAGCCCCACCCCTGCCCCCTGGCTCCGCTAGTCTGTTGTGCACCCATCTTTCCTCTCACAGCCGTCTGAAAGGGGTTAGAGTTTAATACATTCAGAGCAGCCTCCATTTGTGCTTTGTGTGGAGGGGGCTTGTGTCACCCCAAGGCAGGGTCCTGTGAACCTGCTTTGTTCCCTCCACCCAGCAACAGAGCAGGGGGGAATTTAGCTGCCTGCGAGGGGCCCCGGCAGGGCTGAGCAGGGGTGGCTATTGAAACGGTGATGAATGGATGGTGGTTCGGGGTGTCTGGCCATGCGGGGTCTCAGGAGACCCCATCAGTACAGCGTGATATGAGTGCCGGGCTCCGACCCACTGGGATGCAGATGGGCGAAAGAAGGCAGGGGGCTTCCGAAAGGGTGTCTGTCCATCACCAGGTTTGGGCCGGCGCTGGGGTGGGGCGGGGGGAGATGGCGGAGCATGCGTGGACGGGCCGCCTGGGGGTGGGGACCGAGTCAGAGCAGCGACAGCCATCTTACAGGGACTCCTGCGTTGCCGGGATAGAGGCTCTGGCCCCCTGCGGGAGCTGGCCCAGCTCAACACCTGGCCTTCTCGCCCTGTGAGAAGTCCTCTGCGCAGTCCATCCCGCTGGAGGCCCTCAAGAGACAAGGCCTGGGGCGAGAAGAGATTGGGACAGCAGCAGTGTCCAACCTCAGCACCCTCCCCGGGGGCTGGGGAAATACAGGTCTGAGTCGTGGGTGTTGCCGGCCATGGGAAGCGCCCACTCTGCAGGCCAGGGCCCAGAGACTGGCCACGCAGACGCTTTGTAAAGCATCCCGGGCCTGGTTTGGACCCAGCCAGGAGGGAGGGAGTGCTGCTGACCATCTTTGTGGCTGCCACTCTTCCTAGCCGCCTGGGGAGCAGCCCTTTCCCGGGAGGGCGCCCCTGCGGCTCCGAGGCTGCCGAGTGGCAAACGAGGGAAGAAGGTACAGCAGCCACAGGAAATGGTTTTCCATATGGGATGACACACTTTTCATGCCACATCTGTCTGTGGGTTCTTCACCCCAGATCCTAGGGTTCCTTCTAATATCCCCTAGAGCTGCATCATGCACTTCCCAAAAGTTGGTCTGCTGAGCAGTCCGTGGGCCAGGCCCCAGCAGCACTCACCTCCCCCGCCACAAAGAACAGAAGTGGGGCTTCCTCCTCTTTGGCTTTGTACTTGGCAATGATCTTCTCGGCTATTGGCTGGATCAGCTGCTTGGCTGCCTCTGACTCCCCATCATCCTCCGAATCTGTAATGGGGAGAGAGAGACACGAGAAGCACTGGTTTGTGGAAGAGATGGAGTGGCGCCCCCTGAGGAAGCTGGGTCCAGGGCCTGAAATGCCTATTTGGGAAGCCCCTGCACGGAAGCAACATTTCCCCTGGGACACAGGCCTTGCCTCCGGGGTACATGGGGCCAGGGGGGTAGGGGCAGTCCGTGGCGCATGCGTACTACTGCACTGCGCTCCCGCAGGAACAACTCACTGACACCCCAGACACCGCTATTCTTTCCACCGAATTCATCACAAACCGGCCTTGGAAGCTGAGCTTTCCCGAAGCCAGGACCTGAGGTTTTTCTCTCAATCACAGAACCACAGAATGACCTCAGATCTGACCTCCTACTGAAGATGGCAGAAGGGGTGGTAGCTGGGGCATTGAGGAGGGGGTCAGGACTGCAGTCCAGTCTACAGCTTTGTGGCAATGGGGAGGCACTGGGACTCCTGGAAAGCCAACTTCATGGCTGGCTGGATTCATCAGGGAGAGGATGGACTGCCTTCCCTGGATGCCCCAGAGTCCCTGTTAGTCATCTCTTGCCTCCAATGAAAGAACAGCGGGGGAGCAACTCCGGGGGGCCCTGGGGCTCACTTCTGCAGGACCTTGTAACCCACAAGACAACGGGAGGCAGGCAGCAGGATTTTCACCCAGGAATGCCACACGGCCCCAGGGGCCCGCAGCGTGCAGCTGTGGCAGGAACTATTCCTGACCCACTGTGTGATGCTGGGAACTCACTTTGCCTCTCTGGGACTTCCTAACCAACTTCTAGAGAGGGCCTGTGAGATGCAACTGTCCCTCAGTTCAGAACGATTCCCTAGAGGCCCTGTAATGTGGGTATGTGAGCCAGCAGCAGGCAGCAAAGCCCCGAGGACAAGGATTCCCCAAGACCATCCTTCCCCAGGAGACCTCTTTTCTCCAAGCACAGCGACCTGCAAGTTGGTTTGCTGGCTTCCACACCAGACTTCCAGAGCACCTCCCCTACCCACCCCATCAACTAAATGGGTTTCGCAGCATCTCAGCTGTGGATCCTAGGACTCCAAATTATTTTGAGTTGGAGCTGAGTAACATGTCCCAAGGCAGAAGATGAGGTGGCGCCTGGCCAGCAGTCGCTCCTTTGCAAAAGGAACAGAGGTCACCCCACAGGTCTACAGGGAGCCTGGAGTGAATGTTCTGGTGTCTTCCTGCCCCGCAGAACAGCCCCCCCACTGAATAGAGAGTGGGGAGACTGAGAGGGACACCTGGCCTGAGATGCGGCCCTGTGGCTAGGGTGGGGGTGGGGCCTTCGCCCAAGGGGGCCCAGCCTGCAGCTGCCGCAGCCGGCTTCCTTCCAACAATGGGTCTGGTCGTGGGGGCCGGGCTCCAGCCTGACCTATTCTTCCCAGCCGGCAGTCTAGGAAGGAAAGCACAGAGCCAGCTCCCAGAACCCCTCCCGCAGGGGCAGAGCCATGAATAAATCATTGGGGTCAAAAGCAAGGCTGCTGGGAGAGACAAAGGCCCAGGCTTGGCATTGTTCCTGACAGAAAGAAGCTGCAGGGACAGACACCCCCCAAATGTGAGATCCTTTGAGTCCGGCCCACCCTGGGACTCCTACCAGGATTCCTACCTACGAACAGGACAAGGCAGGGGCCCTCATTGAGCTGCACAGCATTGGAGTCCGAGAGCTCCAGCACGGGCTTGGGGTGCCACGGGAACTCCCTGCAGTCCTCATCATTCAGCACTTCCACTCGCCCCTGCCGCGTGATCACCTCCCCCTGGGGGTCCAGCACGATGAGGGTGGGGATGCCTGCAAGGGAGAGAGAGCTTGGTTGAGAGTCTGGAAGTGCTGGGACGGGTTCCAGGCTCAGTCACTGAACAGCCACAGGACTCCCTTGCGACTTGCCCAAGGAAGCCGGCAACTCCCTTCCCCTCTCCTGGCCTCATGGTCTCAGTGTCCCCCACTGCAGTGTGGGAAATGGACAACACTTCCCTCCTCTCACTTTGTAAAGATCGACAAGGTAGGGCATTGAAAGAACTTAGCACCGGAAACACGCAATAAATCCTCAGGAGATCCCAAAGAAGGCACCCCAGCCACCTGCAGGGGACCGAAAACCCAAGCAAAGGGTGTGAAAACACAGGCCCATGCGGCGTACTTGCCAGCCTGCCAGTGTGAGGGCGGGGGAGCCTGGGGCAGGGGCTGCACACAACAGGGGACAGCTGGCTGCCGGGGAGCCCGCGACCCCACCCCCATCTCCAGCCCTGCTGCCTGGAGAGAGAGGGTCCTGGGCTGGAGTAAGACATGAGACACAAGACTCCCAGCAAACCACACACATTCCCAACCATCAAGCCTCAAGTGAGAAACCAGAGAAAACCCCATCCTGGTTATGGTCGCATTTGGGATTTCTACCTCCTGGCTCTTTGTACCCCACTGCCCGCTGCCTCTCCTCCATCCAGGGTACCCCCTACCAACCACAGCCCACAGCCACGGCTCTGTCCTCTTGGAGATACTTGTCTCTCCACTGACAGCAGCTCCCTTCCCCCACCCCTGCCCCGCCCCCAACCAGCCACCTCTCCTCTGGAGCTGACCAGAGCTTTAATTTTATCTGGGCCAGTGACAGCCATAGCAATTTAATATTTATAGATTCAGAAGTATTCAGTGAGTAATTTGCTCTACTGACATTTTACTTCTCTGTGGGGGGAAGAAGGGGCAACAGCCGTCGAGGGACCAGGAATATGGCCCCAGTGTTTTGTAACCTGGTGCGGCTGTTGGCTCAGCAGGGAGGCAGTGGTACACCTGACTTCAAAAGGACTTAAACAAGTCCATTATGTTCACACCTATTAGAAGAAGTGGCTTGGCGTGTCGGAGAACCGGTCCACAGAGAAATGGAGAACTGCCATTCCCACTGTATCACGTACAGACGCACGCAGCCGGGGCTCCTGGGGGCTTCTGGGACATCCTCAGGACTGGCCAGGCCTCCTGAGTTGTGTCACACAGAGCACACAAGAGATCTGGGGTGTTTCCAGTTCCATCCTGACAGCTGCAGCTCAGCCTCCAAAATCTGGGCTCCCCATCCCCGAGGATGGGTGGACGCCGCATCCTGAGGGATGGACGCGGACACCGCGACAGGCCATCCGGCTGTTGGCGAATGCCTCCTGTAGCCATACCCCATCTCAAATAGGCTTTGGTAAAGTTCTTGGCAATTACAAGTGCTAGGTTGAACCGGGGCCTGCCTCCTACTATGATTAGACAGAGCAGCTGGCCTGTTTGTAGCCCAGATGTGGGATGCTGAGCTGGTCTGTGGAGAACACACAGGCAGAGGACAGAGAAGTGAAGAAAAGTAAAACCTGAAGGCAAAGAAATCCACTTCCTGGTTTGGTGCCTCAGTTTCTCCAAGGGACTCCTAGTTTCTAAGGGGCCTTCTCGGTTACCATGACTATAGACTCTGAAGTCCCTGCTGCTGGGGTGTGGCAGGACAAGGACATGGGAGCCCCAGACTGGCTGCTGAGGCATCCTCAGCTGATTCCACCAAGGAACAGCACCGCCCCGGGCCTTGGCTCTCCCCAGCCCTTAGGTCACCCACCTAAGGTCATCGGGCCACAAGTGGCCACACTGAGACAGGAGCCCTGGTCTGCCTGTTGTTTTGCTACCTGGCCACTGCGGGTGGGGGCGCTCTCGAGTAGGCAAGGGACCCCCGCCCCCCAACCCGCCCCCAGCATCCACAGCTTTCTCCACTTCCTCCTCAAGGCTACAGAGGGAGGCTGGGGCTGCCATCCCCTCTTCCCTCTCCTCACCGCAGCAAGCCATCCCCACTCCCCTCGCTTGAAGCAGGTTCCCCCAGGCAGAGACTTCTAAGGAGAAAATAGGGCAAAGCCTCTAATGGGAAACTGAAAGGGAATGGAAAATTTCTAATCGATGCCTCTGTATGAAATAACTTCCACGCCAGCGAGGGGCTTCTCTGAAGGGAATGCAGAGGGAGCACCTCATCTCTGCTGGAGCTCGTCGGCTCCAGGCTGGGTTGGCCGGGATGGCTGAGGGAAAGCACAGGGAGAATTCTAAGGAAGATCCAGGCCACCCACTTAAACTTCCTGGAGCCTCATTTCCACAGCTGTCACAGGGGGTGGAGACCGTCTTCTCCTCTCTTGCTGGGTGTTGTGAGGAGCGAACAAGAGGATAAGTGTAAAACGCTGAGAGCGGAGAAATGAGTATAATCCATCAGCGCTAGCTCTTCTTATAAAGTGGTTCCTTCTTGCTAGTTTTGGTTGTCCCTGGGTTGATTATTTGGCCCCTGGGAAGGCAGAGGTAAGGAAGACTGGTGCCATAGCCTAGTGAGATCAACAGCAATCTCCAGGCTGGCTGGAGGAAGTTAGCTGAACAAACAGAACGCAGAGACAATGTCAACGACGCCGCGAGGACTGTGGGAACTCTGTGACGTCTACCACACACGGGGCTGGTGTCCATTTACTTGCGCCATTCCAAGCTTAACGCTGGGCAGAGGAAGAACATAACACGCCCCGGCTTCTAGAGAGAGCTTCTGCCTCAAGCCCTCGGCCCTGGGCAGCCGGGCTGGCCCACGAGCAGTGCCTACATGTCCCCTTCACAGTCTCCCTCAAAACCTGCAAAGAAAGAGCAAGGCCTCAAAGCCTGCTCCAAACGGTTTCCTCCTGGGAGGAAGCTATCTGTGAGTCTTTTTTTTTTTTTTAAGATTTTTTATTTATTTATTTGACAGACAGAGATCACAAGCAGGCAGAGAGGCAGGCAGAGAGAGAGGGGGAAGCAGGCTCCCCGCTGAGCAGAGAGCCCGATGCGGGGCTCGATCCCAGGACCCTGAGACCATGACCTGAGCCCATGACCTGAGCCGAAGGCAGCGGCTTAACCCACTGAGCCACCCAGGCGCCCCATATCTGTGAGTCTTTAAAACAATCTCAAAGCCATGTGTCCTGAGCCTGTCCTACATTGAGTTTGGCTGCTTTTCTACTGCAGGGGGAAGAGAAGCTTTTGAAGGAGGTGGCGGTGGTAGGGGCCTGGGACCGGGGAGCTCAGTCATATGGCACTTTGGGCAGCGGGACAGGAGCTGGGCAGGCTGTCACCCCGAGAGCTTTCTTTCTCTGCTTCTAGATGGCAATAGGATCTGAGGGGGCTGGGAGTCATCACACAAAGACTGCTGGGAGCTGGAAGAGAGAAATGGAGGAAAGGCAGCCCCTCGGCAGGAAGAGCAGGTGAGGGCGCATGGCTGGACAACACGCGTGATCCCATGGTGGGGACTACAGCAAGGAGGAAACAGTTTGTAAAATACAGTTAAATAGAAAGTAGCGAATATCCAGCACTGTGTGTGCGATTACAGCTCTGGGTAAGTACGTATGCGTGCGGACAGAGACCAAAAGGAACTCAGAACAGGAAAAACAAGTGTGTAGCAAGGCAGGAATGTGGATGAGAGGGATAGAGATCTGAGTTTTCTTAACCGGTGTTGTGATAAATGTGTATTAGCTTAAAATAAAAACCAAAGAAGAACTGGAGGGCAGTCAGGCATGGACGACATAAACAGACCGGGCCTGGGCCACATGGCTTGCCAGTTTCCTTCAGCAGCTCTGTCTGCACTCCCCGCTGGCTGACTCCCCCAAACCAGCCCCTGCCTGGAGAGCCCAGGGAGGAAGAGGGCAGCTGATCTGGGTGGTGAAACTCGGGAGAATCGCAAGGCAGGGTGCAGGGATGGCTCTGGCCAACTTGAACTTGGCCCGCAAGCCCGCAAGCCACTGGTGCCGCGTGTCTGTGACGGGAGGCACAAAGACATTTATGGTCCCGTTCTTCTAAGAAAGAGAAACCAGACCCAACGGAGTGTCCATCGACAGTGGAAAGGCTACGTAAACTGCGGCCCCTCCCACGGTGAAACCCTTTTCGGCACTGCAGAGAAATTAAGCAGGTATCAGTAGCAACAAGAAGTCTTGAACACGGAATGTTTAGTGAGAAAAGCAAGTTACAGACTGGTATTACAGCATGTCAGCACTTAAGTTTGCTTCTAAAAAACACACCTGGCATGGCTATTTATTATTCATGGATTTGTACATAGGCAGTAAAAATATGAAAACCAATTACGAAGATACACATGAAATGTATGGTAGCATTTCCCCCAGGGAGGGAGCCCAGCACTGCGGAGCAGCACGGGAGGCTCCCCTTTGTCTGTGTTCACGCACCCATTTGTTTAGATTTTCAACACCTGAAGCAAAACGGTCACTTCTAGCACCTGAAGCAAAACGGTGGCCACATGGGTGCTTATTCTTACCGTTTGTCCTTCCTTATTTTTTATTTTTTATGTTCTCCAAAGTAAACGAGACACCCAGAACGGGACACCGAGGCAGTGCCCAGCCCGCCCCCACCCAGGGCTCCAGGGCCAGCCCTCCAAACACTGAGGTCGGGCTATGAAACACACTGGCACTGGTCCCTCCTCACCCTCCACTGAAAAAAACACTGGAAAAACACGATCTCCAGATGGGTTGTTTCTGCACAAAATCAATAGGTTCTGCCTCAAATTCATTTTTTGATGGGGGCAGGAAAGAGGGCCAAGTTTGGGAAAGAGGGAGGAGGATGGCAGAATCAAGAGGAAGGCGGGAAAGGGAAGAGGAGGAGGAGGGAAAGGGGGCGACAGAGAAGCCAGAGAAGGTGATCCTGCTGCCCAGGGTCCTCCCACTGCCGCCCCCGCCCCCCCTACCCCCCAAGGCTGGAAGCACCATCCCACTCCAGGGCTGTTCTCCTGGAGGTGGGGCCTGCATCTGTCCCTGTGTCCCCTACACAGCCCTTAGGCTGTCTGCCCT